TATAATCTCACTACCACCACAAGTGAAGTGGTGGGTCGATGGTCAACGCATTACATACAAAGGCTTTTGGTTCAAACCAGAATTCATCACTACTGCCTCGGAAGCCATTAGAGCACACTACACACCTCTTCCTTCTGACATAATCCTTGCCTCTTTCCCTAAAACAGGAACAACTTGGCTCAAAGCCCTAACTTCCTACATTCTCCGCCACAGCTCAACAATACAAAGCGACCATGACCATTCAAATCATCTCAATCCCCACGAAGTAATACCCTTTTTGGAGATCGAGATGTTTGGAGAAAACCCATCAAAGGACATAACAAAGATCTCATCTCCTAGAGTTTTCAACACTCATCTTCCTCTCTCCTTTTTACCCGAAACTGTCAAGACCTCAGGCTGCAGAGTTATATACATAACTCGTCATCCAGCAGACACTTTTGTCTCTCTTTGGCATCTCTACTACAACAAGTTCGGGACAGAGATATCGATCAGAGAAGCTTTCGATGAGTTCTGCAAAGGGCTTATCCCGGCTGGTCCTTACTTCGAACAAGTACTTGAGTTTTGGGAAGCGAGAGACCGTGTGTTGTTCGTCATTTACGAAGATCTGAAAGCAAAACCAGAAGAAAGCGTGAGGAAAATCGCCGAGAGGAGGAGTTCACTGGAGCGGGACTAAGTATGAGATGTTCTTCAGGAAAGGTGTGGTTGGAGATTGGAAAGAATCATCTGACACAAGAGATGATGAAGGAGCTTGAAGACATTGCTGACCTGAAATGGAGAAAGTCTGGTTTGGATCTCAACATTTTTAATAGTAGTGCTTTACAATAACCATATATAGTTTATGTTGCTAAGTGGTGATGAACCTCATGTCTCTGTTTTGTTCCCTGCTCGAAATGTTGAGATCTATCTACCTGTGAACTACCTGATCTCTCTCTCTGTTTTGTTCCCTGCAATGATGCTAATCAATCAACAATCTTAAGGATACAATGCAAGAGTTTATCAATGCTTATAGATACTACAGGAGAATAAATGGCATATAAGCAGCGCATATATAACACATAACATCTATGTTCCATGAGAATATTTTCCTTTTTCCCTTTTGTAATTACCAAGTATCTCAGAATAGTACCTTTCGGCTGCTGCATCGAACATGGTCTCAAAATGCTAGAAATGACAAACCAAAAGCATGACACAATAGCATCGCAATATCAGAAAATTGACAAGCATGAACACAAATGGTCTGAACAAGCAATTGGTATGCCATAGCCGGCTTCATTGTGTTATTTATATATCTCGCATATTTCCGCAAAACTCAAAAAAGTATTGATGTTTAATGCCCCTGGTACAATTGAAGAGCATTGCAGATCGCCTTACAAAAATGCAAGGAACTCAGGATTGTACATGAGAAATGAGTGATAATTGGCAAAGAGGGATGAGAGAGGAAAACATCATGGGCAATGATGGCAGATCAACATGACTAATTTGAAGAAATTATATTTATGAAACCATTATTTCCCAGAAGCTAATATACAAAAGTACAACTCAAATGAATATATATTTCCCGCCGATACAGTCAAAAGCTTTTATAAACATTTACCAGTGGATACACCAAGTCGCATAGCCGATTAACTATCATTGATTCTTGAGATCATCGATACTTGTCTCTTCGGTAGTACTATATTCCACAGTAGATTGGCTCAAAGCCTCTGGGATTTGGTTGGAAGCTGTGACACTTTTCTGAGTTTGCAGACCCGTAGAGCGTGCAAGATCAATCCATTGCTGCATTTTTTGTGATTAAGTTGGAATGGAGTTAAAGGGTAATTCCAGTATTAACCAAAAAAGGAATATGAGATGTTTGAATTGAAGGAAAAAGGAGATAAAGAAGTCAAGAGATCATAGTACAGGCCTAATTCTGACCTGAGTTCCATAGTAGGAGTTAGCTACTCGGACAACAAATGAAATCATGTTTACAAGTAGAGGTTGAGAAGAAAGCTCGTCAGAAATCCGATGTTCGATTAGCCCAGCAATTATCTGCAATTGAAGTTAACTTGATTTTTTAGACGCATAAATTCAAAGCATAACATATTCCAGTGGTCATAAACTTTAACTAATTTTCATTAATTTCTCTCCTTGAGTGGACATGTAAAGAGCCACGCGCATCATCATCATACCTGATAACGGATATTTGAAGATGTTCCCAGATAACCTCCATACACAATGGCCGTTTTCAGCATAGGAGACCTCTTTGCTTGCTCAGAAACAGCCAACTCTGGTTTAATGAACTTTCGTATCGCATACAAAGCATTTGAAGATCCCACAGCTGCGAAACTGGAAACAACTCCAACACCAGCAAGCTTCAAGCCACCGACGATAACTGAAGCAATCCTAAGATTCAGAGTCCACTCTTTTCCACCAAGACTTTTTTGAAATGCATTGTCAGGTATGGATCCTAGGAGGCCTTTTAGGGCGTCTATGCTGTTAGGCCTAGCTGTCTCATCAGCATATGAGAGAAAAGACAAGGTTGGTGCAGGGAGCCAAACCGTGAAAAAATCAACAACTGATGCTCTTACGCTATCAGTTATAACATAGTCGAGTTCTTCAAAGAAGTTTTCTTTCCGCTTCTCATATTGAGCTACAAGTGTTGTTGTTATCGATATAGCTTCTTCAATAGCTAATCGATTCAGGAATTTGGGATCTGCCAACAACCTTTCTCGGAAACCCTGTAACTCAGAGGGTCATCAATTCATCATAAGTGGCATTTCACTAACCAGTTGAAGCTAGCATTGACTTTAGGTAGAGAAGATAAATACAGGACAAGTTAATGTACCATGGTATGATACGAAAGCTATAACAGATAATTTAGCAGAAAAGCATAAAACTTTCAAAGATAAAATCTCACTAAAGGAATATCTTCTGAAATGGATGTACCTGGAACCTTTGTGTAAGCTCTGAAATAAGAGGATACTGCTCCAGATCAAAGAAGTTCTGCAGAATCTCAGGTGACACCAAACCAAGGTCTAATCCTTTTTGAATGTCCTGGAAACAATGGAAAAAAGTTCTATTTAGCATGAACTAATGACATAAAAGCAGTGTAAAAAAAGTAGAGCTTAAGAGAGATGAGGAGCTAATTTTACTATAAGAATAAGAATGTCAGATGCAGTAAGTAACAATAGCACAGAGAGCCAGTCTCGTTATCGTAGAAAATCTACCTGGGGAAGGGCATCTCTTCTCCTACCAGCCGCATTCATTACCCGAGCGATTTCTGCTCGGTCAAAGCAGTTTCTACTGCAAGGTCTGGCCGCAGAATACCACAAGAAATCAGCAACTGGAGATTCACCCTCTTTCCGCAAGAACTGTCTTTCAGGATCAAGTAATACAACAAGTTGACTTTTCTTCGGTATCTTCCTTGCGACCCTTGCCGGCAATCCTGTTCCCCTTGACCCATACTCAACATGGTTTGCCCCTGTCACCACTAACAGCAGACCAGTTCCACCTCCATCTGCAACTGCTTGTAAAATAACTTGTGACATTGTATGGTCTTCAACAACTCTACCCTGTGCCGACAAATAAGAGCTCGGTCCAAATGGAACAATCTGCGTGAGGGGATTCATATTGAGTGAAGAACTACGTGAGGAGGAAGTAAACCCTGAGATAAACCCGGAACCCGCAGGAGGAGTGTATAATTTACGCTCAGACTCTGAAAGACCACGGATACCCTCAGCTTGGACAGTTCTTAAAACCTGAAATATATGCATACCCACTTGAAAAGGTCAACATCAGATTCATGCCACTCTTAACACTAACAAAATATAATTTGGTCCCAACAAACTTCAATCACAAAGATTCCACTTTCCAGCATTTTGCAGAACAACATTGCGTAGCATCTAAAACCAGCATAAAGCAAAGTGAGAAAAATATGATCAAGATGCAGGATCAAAAGCTCAAGAAATGTTTCATGATCAACTAAACCAAATCAAACTGTAAACTTAGTGCACAAAAGCAATCTAATACTATAAGATTACCTTGAGAGGAGTGCCACAAGCAATTAGTTTAACTGCATTATCACGACAGTAACTTAAAAGAGGCTCATACTCTAGCCAACGTTGAGCCGGCCAATGTGATACAAACAACTTCAATGCCTCTCCATCAATCCTGCAAACCAATTCAAGAACAATCGGAACCAGAATAACACTGCAATCTGCGAATATGCAGGAAAGCAAGAAAAAAAACTCTAGCATCAATTAACAAGACGCAAACCTCTTATCCATGTATTGATTTAACTGGTCCTGCAAATCAAGAGGGAAAGCTTCCAATGCCAGAGATAATTGACGATCGCTCTCGATGCATCGTTTCTTCAAATTCCTCACGATTTGGAGTTCGAGATCCTTGTCATCTCTTGTAGGCACTTGTTCCGCTTCTCCAAGGTACACAATCCTCGCATTCAAAAGCTTATCCCATACTCTCTTCTTATCTTTCCCAACAGCCATCGGTTCACCAAGCGCCGTCGCGTCATAGATTCTAGAGGTAATCTCTTCTTCCTTGGCTACAGATAC